ACAAAGAAGAAATTGCATTTCTTTATTTTGGTCATTTACACGAAATTTTATTTCCACATTACCAACAAAACTTGAATGTGAAAACATTTTGCAATTGTTAAATTTAAAAGACATATTCATTTACAGTGTTAAAACAATATTTTATTTTTCTGTGCTAGTGGCGCAGTATTTTAACATTAAGTATATTTTCCTTTTACTTATTTTATAACCATTAATTCTGGCTTTAAAAAGTCAGCCCATTTTTGTATTAATTCACAAATATGTGAGGTGAAAAGCCTAATACCAGATATAAGGATCTTTAGGATCAGATTTTTTATTTTTCATATTAGCTGATATTTTAGATTTTCCCGACTGAATCAGTGTCACTAAGTGAGTGGCGGAAAACAGATTCATTTTCAGATACCGAGTAATTCGAAAGGATTAAGATGGCTGAAACAATGAATTTGAGTCAAACCATCCCCTGATTTAAATATAACTGAGCGAAGCCTCTTGTTATCACCAAATATAAGCTCAATTACTTTTCCTAATTGCCAATACGGGCGTGGTTTCTTTATGATTAAAATTTAATAATATTTTCATATTTGTTTTCATGCAGATTGCTCTCTTAAACTTAGAAGATATTCATTATACCACTTTTTTTAAATTTATTTACTAAATAATTCTTTATCTCTAAAGATGTAATTACATGTTTCCTTTGAGGGTGTTCAGACAAAATATTACTTTCATCATCCAAGTTTTCTTAAACAAGAGTATATAAAAAGCAACAGGGAGTATTTATTTCCAAATTTCAATCAGAAGAACTGCGATAATGTTAGTGGCCGGAAATTTATTGCCTTTTGTATATCTGAAAGAATAGTGAGTATTTCAAAATACGCCACGTGAGATCTTCCTATGGTTTTATAAAGATATTGTTTGACAGTCCTGACCATTCGTTCCCATGTACTGTCCATCCCAGCTGAATATAAAGCTATTGTGAAGTACTTAATGCTAAAGTTAGAAAATCCGTCTAAAAACTTTTTAGAGTCAAGAAATATTTTAATCAACTTGCATCCAATGATAAAGGACTTAGCATTATCACTATAAATGTGACTGGGAATCCCGTAACTGTTAGAGAAAGACTAGCACAAACTCTCGAGCACTCATTTCCTTAACAAGTTCAATATGAATTGCTCTTACATTCATACAGGTGAAGATTAAAATATACATCTTATTTCCACCTTTTCATTTTTAATCATTAAATGCCTTGTATATTCATACATAAGAAAATGATTTGATCAAGTTCATTCTATGTTTAGGGAGATTAGTTAATTTAGGATATTTAAATGAAAGTGCATTTTCTACAAAGATAACGGCTGGGAATGCAATTTTAATGTCTGTCTGGCATTAATAATCCAAAACCCTGAGAACCTCAGTTTAATAAAGGTACTAGAAATTCCTAGGTGCTTGCATATATCATGCGTATACATTATGATTAGTTTTGTTAAATCTTGCTTTGGTGACAACAATACTGGGTAAATAATGTCAAACTGATAGAATTTAGTCTTAGTTATTCTTCCACTAGAACGAATTATACCATTTTAATCTAAAACAGGTTTAAATTTGTTACTAATTTAGGGATTTGATCATTTTGAGGATTTTGTAGATATTGAATTTATTTACCAAATGATTGGTTTGGTATCAATTTGAGCCGATACATCTTGCTTAGGATCTGCGTCAGAATGTTTTTACTTATTAGTGAATTTGAACACGAATGTTTCTCCACAAATATAATTGGTTCTAAAGGACTAGCATAGCTAACGTTGTGATATACTTAGTTTCGAATAACGTCCTTATTGTAATCCCTCAACAATGCAGACCACTTTCAGGCCAAGGTACTGGACTCTTATTTAACCAAGAAGGACCAGAAGTCCAAAATTTAAAGCTTTGTCTAAGCTTTTCCAGAGACAATCCCTGAGTAATTAAATCTGCAGGGTTTTCCGGGGAAGGCACATATTTTATTTTTACTGATAACCCGAGATTAGAATCTAACTCTTCTAGGGCTACAATAATGTACTTTAATCTATTCTTGATAAACTGGTTTTTGGTTTTTATGTTATCGGACAATAACCAAGGCAACACGATCTGAGCATCAGCAGCAATAATTACATCTTTGATACAAATATTTGATAAAGGTTTCAAAATGTTCTTAATGCATTTCACGGCTAAGTACACTGATGATAACTTAAGTTAAGACAAAGACTTTTCTTTTATGGGCGCTATCTTAGCCTTAGCAAAATTTAAGGAGGCCATAGAATCCTGTCTCATATCGGAGACAAAACCATATGCCTTTTTGGAGGCATCACAAAATAAATACAATTCCGCATGAATTGAACTGACAACTGGAAAATTTCAAATAAATGTACAAGTTCCTTAGATAAATAATTCCAAGTCTTATGGTATTCTATTGGTATAATTTCATCCCAAGATAATTTTAATTTCCATAAGTCACTTAGAAGCATTCTCCTTAATTTTCAGTGGCAAGCAAAAAGACAATGCGTCAAACACGCTAGAATTTTGCACCAGTAATTTCTTTTGGTTTTGGCAGAGGAATCTAAATCTCTCATTTGAAATTTCTAAAGTATCTTTGACAGTATTATACTTATACCCTAAATTTATTTGTAAATCACTAATATCTTCTACAATTTTTTTTATCGTCTTCTAGGTACTTCATTAATTCCTTGTAATTTGAGTTACACGAACGTAATTCAAAACTTCCATCTGCCATTCTTTTCACGGATTCTTTATATAATTATAAGAATTCTTCAGGGAATTAAATTATCAACATAAAAATTATCTCTTAACTTAACTGCATAAATCATTAGGGTATTTGTTAACATGGTGTTGAATAACAAAATTCAATATAAAGGGACTTGCTATAAACCCAAAGATCAAAGTTCTATATCTATAGCCAGTAAATTTTTACCTTCTCTCAAGAAAAAAACAAATCTTATTTCTACCATTTTCATCTTTTAACTTGATCCTAAGGAAGGCCTTTTTAATATTGGCCAAGAAAGTATATTTCTTACTTCGAAATGACAAATGTAACATGTTTATCATCAAACTGACACCAGGGTAAACGGCTTCGTTTAACGATGGTGCGCCGCCAGTTTTAAGTGAACAATTAAATACTGGTCTATTTTTAGTGGTGGTCTATTCATCACTTTTAATTACAGGCCTATGAGGTATCCAAATATATTTCCCATAATCTTTAGGGGAAACAGATATACGTCCCATGATTCCCTCTTTTACCTTCTCATGAAAAACGATGAAATAATCGTGAAGTCTTTCTTTTCTAAACTTTTAACAACCCTATCTAAAACCTTCAAAGCCACGGCATAATTGGAAGGAACTAATTTTAATTTATCCTTATACCAAAGAAGCTCTATATAGTATCATTTCTTTAAATTAATAGAGTTTTTGAATTGTTCTATTGCTCTTTATCAAAATCACACAAGGCATCTTCGTTTTCTAATCCTAAAGACTTTAGACTAAATACTTTATCCAGCTTTCTTTCGACCATCAGTCAGTTATGTGCCATGAGTGATACACGCTTAGGCTATCATGTATCTTTCGGTACACGACTGACGAGGCAGATTTTTTCCCGCAGTAGGTTGCCATTTCTTTCTGCAGTAGACCAGTTGCCATCCTTCAAACCTGTCACAAATAGGGTCGAAATAAACTACTATTGGGGACAAAACAAAGTTCACGTGAGTTATTGAACAGGAAGAATTATTTATTGCTTTGTTTTGAGTGAGATGATTAAAAAAGAAATAAGCTAACCTATAGTAAGAACTTTCATATAGACTTAATCGCTATTGTTTATTAATTATAAGTCATTTCAGCTTCCGAAAAGTTTCACAGAAAGGCTCTACTTTCAAATAGAGTTGGAAACATGTATAATTTAAATGCGTCGCTAGTAATCTTATAGAAAATCATTACATATATTATTTCTACAGGGTGAGAAAGAAAACTTTAAAATTGCAGCTACCTTTGAAATTCGCTTATTATATATAAATAAGCTTGTTAATACAGAAATATATTAATAAAATTCATAGAATATTAATTAAAAAATAGCTAATATCAAAAAAATAATTTATTCAATACAATGTCCATTACTTTCAATCACAGCCTTAGCGTGGAATCAAAAAAACTACGTAACTTTTAAAAATACACTTCCATAATAGAAGCCTTGAGCGTATGTTAAATCAGGAAGTTTTGCTAGTGGTCTGCTCTAAAATACCTCACAAAAAACCTAATATAAGTGACTTTGAACATGGCACGGTCTTTAGTGTCAGAAAGGCATGTTAATGACATGGAGAATATTTTCTAGGCGTACATTGGTACCCGTGGTAGTAATAAAAGATCGATTAAATGTCGCAACTTATTTTGGTATTGTGACTGACCAAGTTCCTCAATTTATAACTGATGCATCCATTCTCTGGCGGCCACATTCAGTAGGAAAACGCAACGTGTCACAAATAAAATAAATAAAAGTAGAGATTGATACATGGAAGTCAGCAATGAGTTTTCTGGATTAAAGTGGCCTTCACGGTTACTCATTTTTGAGTACCTTTTGGATATGATTGAAAAGAAGATTCGAATCTTGGATAGACGGCCAATAAAGCAAGAATTGCTGCGTACCTTGATAACACTATGGGCGCAAATTTCAAAAGAGTGCTTCCAGGACATCGCTAACTTCATGACAAGAAAACGTTAGGCGATTTTAAAAGCAAAAGGAAGGGAGCCAATCAGGTGCTAGAAGAGTATAGCTGCCAAAGTGACCGGTGAGTATATGATAGACGTAAGTGCCGATGTAGGAAATTTGTTTATGGTGAACCTCAGCTTACTAAGAAGTGACCAACACAGTTAATTTATCTTCTCTGCTGCACATAGGAAATGAGATATGCAGAATGTCTCAGAAGTTATGAAACTGCAACAGAGTGCCGCTAACTCTGTTATATTTTCGAGTGACGCCTTCTGTAGCATGTCTGTCGTACGTAGCCCTCTTCATCCGCTGGTTCAACCGTTGAGATCTGTTGTAAATCGTCATCAGTTTGGGGTCTTTGGGGGGTTAGTCGCGCTTAGTCTGTGTTCTTGTCTTTAACCTTTCTGCCAAAGGTGGCCCTAGATGGAATTTAGAACTCCCGATGACAGATGTTACCTTTAATAAAAATTGTCTAAATGAACACTTGGCGGAGGCGCGCACACAATGTATTTCGGTGTTTCTCAAAGTTTCAACTGCGCGCACAAACTAAATATATTTTTGAACTGTAGCTGTAGTATTTTTTATTACTACTCTTTTTTCAGAAGTGCGTTTTATGGAAGAGATCCCCAGTATGCGTCACATCATCTTGTAGCGCTAGGGCTAACGCCAGTTGCGTCACGCCGAGATAGTCGAAAATTTTAATGATGATAGGCCAACTTATTTTTGTAGAGGAAACGAATAATTTATCCCTAAATGTGAGTGATCGACTTACAATGTTTTCTGTCCCTTTTTTACGACAACCAAAGTTAAAATTACGATGTGACTATCTGCTAAACGAAGCATTTACATTGTAAATTGACCACCCATTTCAATCACATCCGCTATAAAGGTAACTTTCCCGTAAAAAAACGAGCGTTAAGTCCAGTAAAAACATTTCAAAATACATATGAAAAATATTGCTCCTTACTTGCTGTACGTTTGCTTCGCCCAATTTTAACCTTTATCTAACCACATGGACGATTTTTAAGTAAGAAAAAAAAAACAATAAGGAGTGAGTGTAAAGTGAAAAACATACGACGAAAAGGAGAAATAACTACGACATTCTACATGGACACAAATATACACGCAGACACCCGCGTACACGCATACACACACAATGAAAGAAAAATCAAACTTGCACCAATGAAAAGTGCAAACGAAAAACATAAAGTTATCTGCATATATCCTCTGACGAGTGGACGGAGTGATTTCTGGAGGGTCTGTCTACGAAACTTCGAAGTCGGAATACTGAAGGTAACATCAATAAGCCAAGTGACAAATGTTATATTTAAATTCATTCTAATATATATATAAACAATAAACACAAACTAAAAATTCTTGAAGCTATATGCATGAAACAGTTAAAACCTAACCTGAACAAAATAAACTAGGAAATCTCCACAAATATTCTTAAATGTCTATAATTGGTAACAGAAGCCATTGGTTTATACCAACCGCTTCCCATACTTAATTCTTCTTGAATTCACTCTCGCGTGGTCATGTGTGGCGTCATGAGCAGCGGTGTGATTTTCGCTTCCAGCGTCTTATATGCACGTGTTTATCGTTACTTGGAAATCATCCATGTAAACAGAAACAGACTATCATCACATTCTTGTCCGTGTATTGCTTAATATTGTACTGTAATTGTCATCTTTGATAATGGCTTATGTAAGCCGAAAGCTTAGATTGGATTAAAAAATATGTATCAATATTGTGATTTTCTTCCTTCGTTCAATGATAATCTTATTAAGCTTATCAGACGTTATGAAAAGAATTTACATAAAATAAATGGACAACACTTGTCTATATTATTAAATGAAGCATGTATGAAGATAGATAGATAGATAGATAGATAGATAGATAGATAGATAGATAGATAGATAGATAGATAGATAGATAGATAATGATGCTGAAAAACGCTTCGCTAAGTAGCTGGCTTCTCTTGATATGCATGAGTCAGATCAGACCGAAAATGGTGTACTGCAGTCATGTGTACTGGGGCTGCCCAGTCATCACTTCCCAGTTTTGATAGAGTTCAAAAGCATATGCGCAGTTCCCTGTACCGCTCCAGTAAGTACCTGACTCATCCTGATACGTTCTGCCTTTACAAGAGCCAGATCAAACAAAAAATATGCCAATGCCATATCTGGAGTGGAGCTGCCCGGTCTTCAAATTCCAGTCTTTATAGACGCCAAAAGCGTCTACACGGCCTTGTGGGTGATGAATTATTTACACCCTACAACCCTTTTCCCACAGACGAAACGCTGCAAGCCTCTAGCTATCCTATTGCTATTTCCATGGAAAAGGTTCAGACGAGCTACATTCCTTATTTCCACCAACTGTAACACACACAGCTAAGACTAGCCACGCCGCGTACAGTACCACCCTCATTCCCTTCATAATCTATTTGTAAGAAGTAAGTTCCACTCAAACAGCTTCTCCTCACGAATCACTTCTTTTTGGAATCGACTGCAAAGAAGATGCTTTCCCGACGATTACAATCTTAACCTATTTGAGTCAGGAGTTGTTATTTTTCCCACATGTCTTCATAAACTGCGCCTGTTAACTCTTTCTACTCCCACAACAAGCTCCTTAGCCCTCCTTACTTCAGTAATCCTCTACCTCGAGTGACTTTCGGGCATTGTATTAGGTAAACACTAGCAAAAAGAAAAGAAAAATACACGCACTTATCGTATCGTCATTCGAAACCTTTCGAGAATCACTAATGCCATTAGTCACTAATAGCATTAAGTAGTGATTCTCAAAAGGTTTTGAATGACGATAGAATAAGTGCGTGCATTTTTCTTTTCTTTTCTAATAATTAGTGTATTCAAAACCCGAAGAATTATTTAAAAGAACCCATTAGGTTGAATAATGTTTTTCATTACTATATAAAAGAAGGACGGTAGATAAAACGACATGAAAATAAATGTATTTTTTTTAAGTATTATGGAAGTTATTTTAAGGATTTTCCTTCAGTTTACAACAAAATGTTTGTAAAAGAAAAAAAAATCAAAATTCACTGAGTGATTTTTGTTTACTAAGCTTTGAACTGCACAAAATACAATTTGGGAGTGATGAAAAAAGGAAAGGAGAAAGAAAAGTAGCTGTGCATTTTTCAGAAATAACTGAAAAAATAACTTCTAAAAATATTTCCGAAATTAACTATCGACAGAATATTCAAGAAATTAAGAGTTACTCCCCCTTCACCATCTTGACACAAGGGAAATAATTCTGATTAGGGGAAGTAACTCGAGATTCATGATGAACGGCTTTTTGCCATATCACTCCAGAAAGTGCTTTTCATCACTTTTCAAGATCTTTCTGGAGTGATATGGCAAGAAGCCGTTCATCTCCTCTCCCTTAGCAAGATAGCCTCTTGCTTTTGTCCAAGGGCAAGAATACAGCGGCTTCTTTTTCAATGGGTTGGACGGGTCCTACTAACATCAGTTATGTTTATTTCTGCTTTGTTTTGATATTTAATTTGTTTTGGGGTTTACCACTCCTCTTCCATGATCATTCACCCAAGTTGTATATATATAATGTAAATAATATTTATCATCCCATTGGGATGCGTTTTTATAGCAACCCACCTTTGAGAGGATGTTGCATTATGGTGTATGGAGGATTGAATGGTGACAGATGAGTTTTTATGGTGAATGAGGAAATTATAACGAGTGGGTTACCGGCTGCTTTCCTCTGCCCTTCCATATAGCCTGCAAGTGTCAAATATGCCAAGACTTCTTTCTGATTAAATATAATTTTTGTTTCAGTTTTCCTTAAAACTTCCTCATTATTCACATGTTCAGTCCATGATGAATGGCTGAGGATAATTTTTTAAGTAAATAAATAAAACATAAATAAAAAATAAATAAATTTAAATATCATGACTCTTCAGGGTATAAGCAATCATGGCTCTCCTTGATTTTCAAAATAGCCATGACTTCTTTAGAAAAATTCGTCCTGGGTATGACAATAAACTACATCCAGCAGCAAGGCCTCTGATCAGGACAATAGAGATTTTGAGGAGTGTGGAAACACCTCTTAACTGCTATTGTTCACAGGTCCACCCTGACCCGGAGTGGTAGCACCTGTTAGGGTCCCAGCTATGGGCAAATAGTTAAAAACACTATGAAAATATAGAAATACATTTTTATAGTAAAAATTCCAGCAATACATTTTCATATTAAAAAAAAAAAATTACCATAATATATTTTTGAAAAAGAAATTACTAATGTTCCCAAGAAAATTAGATTTTGGCATTGAATGACTCATTGATATGCCACTGAACAAAAAAACGAAACAACTTTAGGAAGGTAGTGGACTAGCTTCCCCTGTTGCTGTCTCCATGTTTTTAAATTCAGAGGTTAAGATAAATTCTGAATTTAAACTGGTTGGTATGCAAGTTTTGAGAGCCGTCTATCCTCTAGGTGCAGGAAGAAATACTCATACCTTCCATCAAAGGCATGAAGACAAAATGAATATAACAGCGTAAATTACGATTAAGTTCTTCCTTGGACTAATTATCATCATTTAAATTTGATTAAAAGCATCCAAAATATACAACTTGCATGATAAATATTCAATCTTTCATCCTTTCAGTAAAGGAGATTTTAGAACATACAATGGCCATCTTATTAATGACACAAGTAGTGGGTGAACTTTGTTAAAAAAAAGAAAAGTTGTACAAAAGGACGTTTATGACCTGGCATCTGAACTTCAGTCACTTTCTCACCAACATGACATGGCTTCCCTCTGTCTTTTCTATAAATATTTTCATACCAATTATTCTCATGAGATTTCTTCTTTGGTGCCTTGACTGTAATGAATTTATGCATGCTAGCAGATTGACACCATTTTACTGTTGTCCTAGCTAAATGCAACTGTCTGTTCTACTTTAATCATTTTTTTCCTACCATGTTTTGTTTCCTTTGCTACCTACAATCCGTAAAAATTTAAATGCAATGCCATCTTCCTAAAACCTCTCCTTTTATTGTCTCAAGTAGTCTCATTGTCTTCCACTCCCAGTAAACGCCATGGTGCATCTTAATGACATTATCACCTTGCTTTTGATGAAAAAAAAAAAAAAAAAAAAACACACAAATACATGAAATTCCAAATTTCTAAAAAAAAAAAAAAAAAAAAAAAATTTTATATGGGTGATAAGTTGAAATTAAGACCTTTTTTCCAATTATGCAGACCATGTCCCTTCTATGAGAAATTTTATTCAACATAAGTGTGCAATTCAAATGTAAACAATTTATTGAACTGGGTAAGACCAAGTTAAAATGGTTTCACTACATTATGAACTTTGTTTTATGGTCTCACCCACTACTATTCAGAGTATAAATGACTCGGCAAATTTCTTTCTGGGTGGACAACAACCTTTCTACATAAACCAGATGTTCCCTTGTTCAGAATAATTTTAGTTATTTTCAGTGACCAACCAATTTTCATTACCAATAAAAGGTATTGTAAGCAATGTATGTTTTTCTATTTGCTGCTTGTGGGAATGGCATGTGAAGAAATTGACAGGAACTGTTTAATAATTTCCTTTAGAAATATTTTGCAAAAGAAAAGTTTTTTTTTTTTTTTAACCTTTCATGGATCATGACTTTCCACATGCTGTGTTACACTAAGTAACACTGATCACCCAAAGTTTGGTTCAACTTTCCTTCAATATCATTAGCATTAAGTATTCAAGCCATTTTTCAATACATCCCAGAAATTTTAATTATTGGAGTTGAAGTATCAGTGGCCTCATGTCAATTTAAGTAAAATTAGTAACACTAAATATTCCTTTATGTCACTGCCAAAACCTTTCATGACAGTGACATTGTTCCCTAAGCTTACAAAAGCCTAATTAGTTACAATAAAATAATTTTGAATCTACTACCATTTATAAAAATGGCCTTGTGAAAATTTTTTTTTTTTTTTTTTTTTTTTTTTAAACAGGTGCATAGAAAAGACAAAAGTGAATAAGTTTTAAAATATTTATTACAATAATGAATACTTTATTTTGTGAAGTTACATGGTTTAGTTCCTGGAGATTTTTTATTCAAGACTTGGAAAAAAAAAAAAAAAAAAAAAAAAAAAAAAAAATCATTTTGGCAGTGTAAATTAGCAACACAAATACATTTTTACAATTTCCCACCCAAATCAGATTTTGGGTGGCCAACAAAATCGTTCAGTGTTCTGAAAGTTTATTCAACTCAACATGATTTGAAACGGTATTATGTCTGCATAGTCAACTATTTTTATTCAACTGGCCCCGGTTAAGTAAGTCAAGTAACCAAAATTTCAAGCTCCTTGAACAGAAGAGGAGCAGAAGGCAACAAAAGTTGCTACTTGTATGATGTTATGCAACAGGTTCTGACAGTTTTAAAAAAAAAAAAAAAAAAAAAAAAAAAAAGTTGCCACTTTCAGTATTTAGAGTCAATTCATCTATTAGGCAGGATCTTTTTCTTTAGATTCTGGTGTTATGGAACGTCCTTTAACCACAGATTCTGAAAAAGAAAAAAAGTTTAGACAAGGAGTCAGACAATTAGAATTTTAGTCAGCATTTCCCCAATTGTACTAGAAGACTTCACTATGGAATAATGAACAACTGTATCAAACCATTACAACTGCAAAGGGTCCTATTCTCATGTAAGTAGTTACCAAACATGCACATATGAGAACAGGTTAGCTAAATAATTAAAATTTAGAATTAAGGGATATGTAAATGGTTACACAAACCAAGTTAATTTAGAGTCACATTACAGGAAGTTAGAACTTCCTTTTACTAGACAATATAGATATTTGTCCCTAGTAAATAAAGGACATAATACCATTATTTAAAAAGTTCTAATAGATTTGTTAAGTGTCACATTGTAGCAAGATTTGTTACTGAAAACAAAAACCAAACTTAGAATAAAGTAATTTCCAGTCCGATTGGTAATACTTGTATGCGATAGAATTGGCATTAAGTGTTCACCCATGGTTTCTCAAGGGAGAAAACTCGTGTATACAAATTGACAGTAGTTTCCCCATTTTTCGGGAAATATTAATACTTCTATAAGCTTGAAGACAAGTTTTGAGTCACTATCTGGATATCGAGTACTCAAAAGTTGACAATATTAAAGTACAAAAAAGTTATATTTGTCACATCTGAAGGAGTAATCAAGACAGGTTCCTATACACAAGTCTACAGAATATTACTTTAAACACTATTCTTTTAAGCAGGAAAATCCCCACACACACTACCGATTTAAAAAAAAAAAAAAAAAAAAAAATATCCAATCTATGGAAATGTCAAAATATCAAACAAGCATGTGGCCAAAGATTCACTCTGGTTGTACAATTCAGTATATTAAACTTTCATTATTTGGATTCACACTAGTTTTTCTGGCATTCCTCACACCCATGTAAACCTCTGAACAAGTATAGTCAATTTTATATAAAAAAGAAAATTACAATTAAAACAAGATTAAACATTTGCTTGGTTGAAAGATACACAAGATTTTACTAACCAGTTTTGGCAATGTATGTGTCCACTAAGTATTCTTTGCACTGCATGGATGTTGCATCAAACTGAGCAGAACCACCATGAAGCACTAAATAGTCACCACAAACACCAACTGAATGTTGACCACGTGCACAAGGGATTTCACCATTCACACTAGGTTGAAGCCACTGACCAGTACCTGAAAAGAATTGTATAATTTCAAAGTAAAGCAAAAGGTTTCTTGCATGATATTTTTGTTGCAGCCTTAATCTTCAGGAGGGAGAAAGAGAGACCAATTAAGATAGCAACCAAGTGGGTTGGGGGTGGGGGGAGATAGATCAAGTAAAGTTCTGGCAGATAGCCAAACTGAATTCAATCATGCAAAACTTGTGACAGGCTCATCACCCTGAAACAGGGAGATGGAAATTGACAAATTGAAACTTTCTGCAAAATGGAATTAGGTACTCACCAATGTCAAGAACATGGATGTCTCCAAAATGGCCCTCAGAATCATTACGCCCTCCCATTACAACCATCCTGTTGCCAACAATAGTGGCAGAGTGGTAAGAGCGGCAACCAGGCAAACGTCCAAGCAGTCCATCTAATTTGCGCCATTTTCGGGTATCTGACAAATAAGATTTTAAGTCTGAATTTTAGGAATCAGACATTTTGGTTAGTCTAGCAAGATAACCAGACCAATATATCTTACTTCATTATCCAGAATTTAAGGGACAAAAAAAAAAAAAAAAAATCTAAAAAGCTGAAGGAATTCAATATTACAAGGAAATTGATACCTAAATTATAACTGCCATGACAGCTCTTTACAAAAAACTAATATGAATAAAGTGAAATGCTTATTACAGATCTTCCGACTTACCTATATTGTATACATGTACGTCATTCCGTCTCTTTTCACAATCACGTCCTCCAAAAATGAAGATATCCCTCTCATAGGCACACATGGTCATGGCAGCACGGGCACTTGGGATGGTTAGATTCATATGCATAGGTTGTGACCAAGTATTAGTTTCTGAGAGTGGGAGGAGGAGAGAAAAATAAATCAGTCAAAATTGAAATTACAAATATTCAAATACTTTCAGAAGTAAATTTTAGAAATAAATTAAATGTTAATTAACTGTCTGAAACAACTTATTTACCACCATAAATACTTCACTAATTATGACAGTCTTGGAAGATACAGAGACTGTAGAAAGTAGGACTTTTGATAATTTTACACTAATGGCACATTGATGATAAGAGGGACAGAGAAAACAGCAAATAACCAGTTTATTGAAATGGATGGCAAAATTGAGTAAGGGGGATAGATGGAGAAGAAAAAAAAATTTGGCCAAGAGCTACAAAGGATAGGAATTTATGATTGTCCAAAAAGACAGCACAGATAATATGCTAATCTGCTGTCTTTTGGGGCAATCATAACTTCCTATCCTTTGTCTTTCAGTAGTGATCACATAATATTCTAATCTAATCACTACTCAAAGAAGTTGTCCAGATTATATTCTAGAATTGTGTAATGATCAATGTATTTGACAACATTAGGAAAGCTGAAGACACTGATAAATTGGAGAAAGTATGGTTGCAGATTCAAAGTAGTGATATCATGGTTGTTACATTAACCATTCTACTTTCTGGGCATATTTGGTACCATTCACCAAATCCCAAGGAAAGATTAGATCATGTTTTGCAGACCTTACTACAGTCAGTCATGTGCCATGTATGATACACAGTTGATCATACATCTTTTGATACACGATTGACAAAGCAGACTTTTCCCCTGCAGTAGGTTGCCATTTCTGCAGTAGACCAGTTGCCATCCAAGGCTATAGAACAGTGTTCTGCCATTTACCCATAGCTGGTAGTAAAGATTCATACCTTTCCCAAGAGTATTAGCAGGTAAATAAATGTAATGGATTAGACGGATTTAAACTTGGCTCTGATTCCTCTGAGATGCTATCCATTACTGCACTTCCTGTTCTTACTCCAGCATAGCTTAATTTCCTCTTGCTTTGCTTTTAAATAATTAAACTTGATCAAAAGATTTAAGACCTTACTAACAGGCATTTTATAAAGGGGCACTCCAAAAGTAATGGCATCCATTTATTTCCAAGATAGAGGAAGTGCAATAACTGTTGGAGAACAAATTTGCTATTATTTCAGGAAATGTTAGCATAATCCAACAATACCACTTCATATGCACTTTTGTGCTAGATGTGTTCTGTCTAACCATATATATATATATCTCTCTATCATTACTTTTTGAAACATTTTTATACATATTAGAATTATAACTGGTGCTGACAAACCTGTATCAAATATATAGAAGTCATCAAACCATTTAAATTCAACACCCTTTTGTTGAAGTTCAAGGTCTTCCTCATCTGAAGATATTTCTTCCTCTTCAGAACCAGGTTCCTCTTCTACTTCCTCTTCCTGCAGAAGAAAAGTTAATTTAGTCAAATCAATGAATCCCCCCCATCCACTTGACTTTCAGAAGTCCTTTCCCACTTAAGTTATCAGCCAAGATTATTTCCCCTCTAATAAAGTAAATAAAAAATATAAATATAATTTTTAAGTTCCAGTATGTACACTATTTTAATTTCACATTGCAGACTTTGGGACAAAAAAAAATGTACAAAGACCTCTATATTCACTAGATATAACTGATATTTGAATATGCAATTTATGGTTATGTTTAGAGGTTAATAAATTCTTGATTTTGAAGATCCATCAGATAATATTAGCCATTAACAAATGACTAAGATCAAGAGGTTTTATATTGAGAGCTCTTAGTTTAGGATTATCTATACCATGACTACAGTATGAACCAAATCAAAACAGTACTACAAAAGTATATGAATATTATTACATCCGTTTAATTTGCAAACTTGTGCGAGTTCAAATTATACTAAAACTAAGTCAAATTTTAATCCGATTTTCTAACTAGTTGTCTCCCTTGAGTCAAACTAGTTTTGGTTTAATTGCCAACTTTTTGGATTATTCAAGATAGATTTTGCTTGAGGGCACCCAGTGTGGATCATATTGCTACTCGATAGTAATAGTCAGGCTGGCCTCACTAAGCTTCACTCCACAACAGGTAATCCATTAAACCATGACAAGCCTAACAAAATTAATAGGAAGGAAGTCTGCTTATGTCAAGATAAAATTTGTAATACAAAAAAGTGAAGGAAAAATTGTAATGGAATTTCTGACAGTTTGTATAGCTAATATTTATGATGGCATGGAAAAAAGTGACATTTTAAAATTTTATAGCACCTAAAGTGGTGGAGTGCTTAAGTGCAAGCTAGAGTAAGTTGTTTACTCTATACACAAGTGATAGAGTAAAATTAGATCTTTATTTTGCTAGGCAAATCTGGCCTGAAACAATTGTCAATCTTTTAGATGAAGACAAAAAAATTCCGAATTTCAAGTTTTTGCCATCTTATCCAAATTATAAGACTGACCACTGGAGAAGGGAAGAGAAAAGTCCTCCACTATCAAGCACCACCCTAAGACTTATCAAGTACATTCTAGAAGAGAATATACAGGATTTTTACTTTCTTCATTTCTACAAAACTTAATTGAAGTATTGTTTTTACTTACACCTTCTTTTACCACTTTTGGTCCAAATCCTCCAAAGTAATAGATACATTTGCCAACAGCTACAGAAGCCAGTTTATCTCTTGGACTGGGGGCATTACCAACTCCTTCAAGAGTTGACCATGTACTTGTTTCTGTAAGACAAATTTACAGGCTTAAAAATGATAGAACTGATTATAGTCAAGGTAAGAAAATCAAACCAAGTTTTTAAATATGACTAATTTCATATTGCAATAAACTAATTGTTAAATGTAAGAAAAATTACAAAATTTATTTGCTGATCCAAACACTCCTCAGTCACTATAGTAATGGGATGGAATAATTTGGTAGTATAAGAATTTGACAGTGAAGAAATTTAGAAAAATTTCTAACAGATTTTGAAGTGACATTTTAGCAAACACCTTAACATGAAAATCCATTCTAAATTAAAACATTGGTACCCACCTGTGTCATAAACATGAAGATTATTTGACCAACCAGTTTCCTGGTTCAAACCACCAAATACATACAGCTTGTTTCCCACAGAAGACATAGTCGAGCCAGATGAAGGGACGGGAGGTTTTCCTTTAGCTTCACATTGTGTCCACTTTTCATTGTCTATATAAGAATCAACATCCAATTTAAATTTCAAGTAATTTGCATACAATAAAAACTATACTTTTCAAAGTTATTTATATTATACAAGAATTTAAAGTTATGACAGTATCTACTGGAGTTTGTTCATTGTAAACTTAAATTGCATAAAGTCATTAAAATGCTATTAGGCATGTATAATTTAAATTTAGAAGATGTGTAATTATTAGGTGAACTTTGTAGTTATAGTTACTGGATGATTGTACATATCAAAATCATTTTTGTAATTTAAAAGAAAATAATCAAAGATGCTCCAATGTTAATCAGTTAAGTTGAAGTTTATAGCAATCAAGTTAAAACTAGTTTTAAAAGTCAACATCCAGCAGAGAACTCCTACCACTTAAAATAACCAGGTCATATTTTTTCCTACATTACATACCAATTTATTTTAGTCACAAAGCATAAAGATCCATTTAACTGTGTCAATGCATGATTTTGGTATCTAAATGTGACAATGTTCAGTTTCTTAAATTACGATAGGCAAGGATAACTGGATACTTTATAAGATTATGAAACAAGTGATTACTACACACTGCACTGAAAGATTGTTGAAAAAATACCCATGATGTATCTAGTGGAATTGTGGGGGAGGTCTTTGAGAATGAAAGAAGTGATTCAATCAATTGAAGAAAATTAGCAGAAAAGGCAAATTCTAGATGCTCATTTTAGTTACTTGGTAACTAGCTTGGCTGGGAAGTTTAGCCATAGTTTTCCGATACTGCAACATTGGTTCACTAGAAGGTCTTATTTTCCATGAAAAGCACTATTTTGAGAGACTTTTATAGATTTTTCAACTACTATTTAAATTTGTTATGATGTCTGACTTTAACTTGTCTGTCCAACAGGCATCAAAGGATAAAGTCAGTAATGTACATCCCCCCTTACCTACTGTCTCCTTACAGTTTACACTATTTAGGATCCAAGTTTTACAAAGTTAGCTAGATTAAAAGTAAGTTTTTTTTGGGGGGGGGGATCATCTTGATTTTACCATATTTTTCCTATCACAAGGTGGCGGAGGCAGGGAAAAGTTAATGTGACACAAATTAGAATTTCAAAAATATTAATTTCATTAAAATGACCAAATAATGTAGCTTTCTGTCTAAACTTTGTGGTGCTACTTTTCTGTGGGTTTTGCCACTTTCACTTAATTCTTATTTAGGATTGTAAAATTCTTGGCAATGATTGTCCCAGAAACTGGGAAATTCAGGGATAAAGAAAAAAAAAAAAAAAACAAACAAACACACACACACAAAACACCCTATCAAGCTGGAGCAATTTAGTGGATTTTAGTGGATATTCCAGCTAGTAAAATTTCATTTTTCTAGTTTTAATAACATTTATATAGTAACACTTTCTCAAAGTATTATAAAATAAAAGCCTATACTGAAAACAAAAAATTCTAAGATGGAATAAATGAAAAATCTGTCCTTCCAGTTTACTATTTATTCTGGTCTTTACAGAAATTCTGCCTACACCACCACCACAACCACTTTAGGCAAACATTCTCTACAGATATCACAAATATATAACTGGCTGAAATAAATTTCTTCATCTGAAGATGAAGGTTTATTATAGAACCTCAGTAAGCTGCCAGTTCCATATATGCAAACACTTCAGGAAAAGGAAACTGTTCAGAATATGAATTAACCTACAAACCAAAGTCAAACTTGCTTTTCATAGTTAAGGAGGAAAGACAAAAAGGTCTTGATAAATATTTTGAATCCTTTTAAGTTTAAATTTTGGTTAATACAGGAAGTTTAAAAGTATTTGGGGAAAACATCTGTTGGGGAAGGGGAAGTTTCAGGATTTATGCACAAATAAAAAGATGTAAGGGAGCCTTCATACATTTAACATCAATACCAACTTTGTAAATTGGGACATCCATACATTGAGAATTTAACATTTCCTCAACAAGCAAATTTGAAATTACCCCCAACAAGTCTCACAACATATTAGTCAATCTATATTTAATCTATTAGCTTGGGAAAGGTTTTATTTTTAAAATTAAACTTTGGGGCAGTTATCTAGTTTTCAAGCATCTTTCATAAAATTAAACAGAAGCAACTTACCACAGTCAAAGCAAATAATTTCATTAATCGTCTCAACTTCATCTTTGCACTGAATGACCCCACCATAGATGTATAGTTTATTGCCAATAGTACAATAGGATTGACCTTCCCGAGCAGGAAAGGAACAGCAAGGTTTTACCTGAAGAGGAGAAAAAATGGTTTATTCAGCATCAGGCTTTGTGATCAAATTTCTACTTTCCTTGAATTATGCACATATGAATCAGTTTTTTGTCAGATAATAAATTTGCAGAATAATTCATTACCATAATTTACAGACAAATTCAGCCTTTGTCAGATCTTAATATTTTTGGCGAGAGAGGAGAGAAAAAAACTTGCAAGGTGTCCAAACTGACCACTAAATTGAAAAGTGTACTTTATGCAATCTTGTTTGTCATTAGGAAATTTGAGCAGATTTTTATGAGAAACATTGATTTGGATATTCTTGCAAAATAATTGTTAGAATCTAAATTTGACTTATTTTTGAAAAAGTCTTACGATTTTTTTTTTTTTTTTTTTAACATGTTCCCCTCCTTCACTTTATGAAAGTGAAGAATTAGTTTTGCGTTGCTCAAAGCTTCTGACCTTATTAGTACTGACTAATTGTCAAACAGGACCCCCAGTTATTCTAAAGTAAATGATAAATTCAAGTGAAATGAAACCGTACTAAAGAAATACGGGTTCCTATCAATTATTGGTGAAAGTTACGAAATAACTGTTAGTGTTACACCACTAATTTTTTGTATAATAGACTGAATAACCTCCCTTACACTTATTAAGCTTCGTAGTCAGAGTTCTTAGAAAGGATAGTTTTTTTTTTTAGAAATGGAAAAAAAATCGAAAGAATTGGAAACCGTATAAAAAAAGCGACGAAACTAAAGTAATGAATGCAAGAGCGATTTGTTTTCAGAAATCAAAACAAGACGTTTTACGGGCTTCCTTTAAGCATATTGGTCATAAGCCCCTAATTGCCATTTAGTTTCTTTACACTTTTACTTCACGTAGAAGTGAGTTTTCATTTCAATCTCTAAATTGATATTGCATCTCAAACACTGTAGGACTCTTCAAGTCCTTGTGGGCTCACAGGAGCTATAGAGGAGATGAAGGAATGTAATCCAATCTTTGGCATTAAAAAATTGTTCAGAGCGTTAAAATTAATTTTTTAATTAGATTTTTTTTTTTAAGGAGCATTTTTTTTTTTTTGTACTTAAGAGTGCCTACACGAAAACGGTGATATTTTTAAGCTAAGAAGTTTTATTTAAATTAAATAAATGCACAGTGAAGTTTATTCTTTTTGCCTACTACAGTGAACGGAGTTTAAAGTTCGCAGCTGCAATATTAGTTAACAAGTGCGCGTTGTTTCTAGAACTCTTCAGGTGGTTTAAAGTCTCGTATATACGAGACTTTTTACCGAGAGTGTCTAGATTGCCAATTTACAAGCAACACAGCACTTCTAGTTTCCTCACCCTCCGAATAGCGAAGACGTGGGGAGAACTACTTGGAAAAAAGATTAGTATCCGAGTGTAGGTGAAGTATTCATTAAAAAATACGGTAAATTTATATTTATGAAATTTCATGTTACAGTACCAAAAACCAAAGTTTGGTAACCGACTGACACTTAACGACCTTTGCAGTGCAGGAAGTTTGCTAACTTTTCAACTGAATTTAAATAAAAACAAATTGCAGGAGGAATAAAAAAAATAAAATAAAATTAGTTAGATACAGGTTTAATTTATTATCTAATTCGTATACTTGCTTTCAAGTGCAGTAAACTTATGTTATGTATGGAAGTTTTTTTTTTTTTTTTTTTTTTTAAAACGCTCGCTATAATAGTCGCGCGTAAAAAAAAAAAAAAAGTTTACCGGCTTCATAGGCTATATTGTAAGCGAAATAAATTAGCATACATTTCGATAAGTTCGTTAAATTTTATATGATATCAGAATACACAAGATCCTTAAAAAAAATGCTTACTTAAACTTATTTTCTGTATAGGTTTACTACTTTTACTAGCTGTCAAGCAAGTGTCAATTAATGGTGGTCAAAGTGATATTATTTTTTAAAGTAATAAAAATAAATGAACTCACTTGCTTCCATGTGATATTCAGGTCGTTTTCGATAGGTGTACCTTCATTGACAAGACTAACTTCGTTACCCATATTTAAGAAAATCCAGTTATAATCGCTAGGTCCTTTGTGTGGCAAAACTGCTTGTTTGTACAGACTCACGTTACAGTTTGGGACATGCCGTTTCCCGCTCTAACATTTATACGCTTTCCGCATTTTGTTTTTTGATTTTTTTTTTCGATTTTTGTTATTGTTTTTTTTTTTTTGCAAAGCATTGTGGGATTTAATATATATTTTTAATTTATTTATTGCAATTTTTCAAATAAACGTTATTCTTCATTGCAAAATAATTACAGAATATTATTTTGATAGCATAAGTTTTCAATTTTAATTAAGAAATAATTTGCACTTAATCGTCAGTTTTCGTATCTGAGTTCATTTGCAACAATATATCGTAAGTAATCGACGATGCACTTAAAAAAATTATGGTAGCTCAGTCAATCAATAATGTCTACTTCATTTTTGTCATTATTAATATTGTTAATGCCAATGGCAATATAACGAAATTGTTTTTACTTTTTAATATTTTTTTTTAATATATCCAAACAAATGAATAATATTTGTGAATTTTATCCGTTATTTACCCACATCTACTTTTATTTTAATAAGAAACGCCACTGAAAAATGGCAAAAACATGGTTTTGAAGCAATAGTAATGAATGAAAACGCATTTTTACGTAATTTTATATTCCAATATAACAATAGTACCGTTTGGAACTTTTCATTTTTGAGAAAAAAAATTAAAGAAGGCGCGAGCGAGCTGACACTGGGGGTGATTTTGTTTATAATATTCTTCAGCTTATAATTCTAAACTGAGACCTGACTTTGTGTCCGTGATATTAACAGGGAATGTTCCATCTGCATAATGTAAAAAAAAAACTGGACCTTTTGTGTCCGTCTTTATGCAGAAAATGTGTGTATAATTTTTAAAATACAAAAGAAGTATTAAAATTTTATTTTCTTTATGAAAATAATAATAATATGGTGAAAGGGTGATGTTTTGCATAATAGTTTATTTATTAGATTTTAGTCACAAAAACAAGAAAATGCAACTTTAACTTTCTTGTTCTTTTCCAGCTTCCGTAATTTAAAATGATGGACGTTATGGTGAAAACCTTAAAATAGACACAAAGTAAGGGTATCATTTATTTTAAATTTAAACTCTAAATGAAGTGTCAAATAAATTGAATCAATCCCACTAAAAACTCAAAAAGTTAGTTTAGGGAAGAATTGAAGGCCATCTTCATTCAAAGTGCATAAAAATAAAAATACTTATAAGAAATATATTTTTCTTCTGTAGAAAAAGATATGACTTCTTTTTTTTTAGTTTACCAAATAATCAATTTTGAAATAATTCAGGAAATAATTCTGTTTCTACACAACTATTTAGTTAGTTTTGCTGTTATGCTTTCTTTATTACCGCTAATCAAGGGAGGAGATTTTATCACGAAGAAAAAGAAGGATCAAAAACAAAGTTAAGATCAATCTTTAAAAAAAAAAAAATTTTGTAAAGCACACCCGAATTGCTAAATCATGCGGCAGAAATTGCGCGCAACCCTGTGGAGCCTTTATAATTAAATTAGATTCTCATCTACTTCTTAACGACGGTTTCTCCTGCAAAGGCGGACGTAATTTCGAATCCGGCCCAGAGTCGGAGTGGAACATCTTTTTTCTGAAATATTCAGATGAAACTAAAAATATATTCAGATGAAACTAAAAATATATTCTCGGGGCGTCTACTCAAATATTAGGAATCAACTAAAAATAACGTTTAAAAAGTGCTACAATCTGCCGGGTTAATAAATAAAAATACATTACTTCTTTGGAATTATATAAACACACACGCACACACACACACACACATATATATATATATATATATATATATATATATATATATATATATATATATATATATATATATATATATATCAGGATTCGCCCGCTTGCTATCTCTTAGTGGATCTGGGAAGGCTGCGTGAATATTTTAGTGTTTCGCTGCAAATGAAACATGTAACATCCACAAACTTTTTTTTTTAAATGCAATATATAACGATATGCAATTATGACAAAAGAATAGGCTCGGAACAGCAAATAAAATTTTTATGTACAGAATTTTACGTTTTGTGTTGTAATGACGTGTGCGTAAAATTGATCAGAGAATATTTAGGAGAAAAGATTCTCATTGCTGGGTTGGAATGTTAAATGGAGAAAGTTCTGAACATTGTTGGTTAAAAGTTCAGTGTATGAAAGTTTGAGAATAAAATTGTTATTAGAAATTTAAAATACTGTTGCAGTGTAAATTTTAAATTTACAGTTTTTAAATAAGTGAAAGTTGTCTACCTTTAACTAGAAAAGTCAAGATTAATAAAAATTAAATTAGACAAAAATTTCTGAAAAAGATATTCTAGTGGAAAAAGTTTTGTCACAATGAGTTATTGAAAACGTTAGTGCATTGTGGTGTAGAGTATTTTTCCAAATCTTTCAAAAGGCAGTCTCTGATTAGCATAAAATTAAATTCTCTCTCGGCGTTTCTCTGAGTATCTATACATCTCAGTGTGTAGAAACTTGATTGCTGTTCGTATTTATAACTTTTTCGATAATTAAACTAAATTAGAATAATTAAATTTAACGGGAAATTCAGTAGACACAAGGAATTCGTGGGCGAGATCGTATTTTTTCTATTTTTTAACCAATAGAATTGTATGAGACATTCAAGTTAGGGTAAATTAAAGAAAGAGTTTTTCAAGTAGGTTGAGCCTACTTTTGCACAAAAATTGACTGATTTGCGATGAAAGCTTCTAGAAGTTTACTGTGCATTTAATAACCAATCAGGTTTCAAGAAATGTTTGAAAGTAAAAGACGGGTTACTAAAAGATATATTCACTACTTGAAATCTTTGGAACAAAAAGTTCAAATTGAACATTTCATTCATAAATTGATTTGTTATAGTTAAGGAAAGTTTTACAAATAGATGCCAACTTGTTGAAGGCCAAGTAAAATGCAAATTTCAAACACTTTTCTGCACTATATAAGACGATATTTCTCAACAGAACTATTTTTGATATGAAAATCAAAACAATCCTCGAATAAAAGAACAGTAATTAAGGTCAGTTAATTAATGAAATAAACTTTTTAAAAATATGCAAATTAGTTAAACCTGAAGAGCGATATTGCCTAGAAGTTTGTCTGACTTTCCCCGGCTTTCGCCGACTGAAGGGCTAGCTGCGAGAGTGAGATCACAGAGGGCGAAGTTCACTTGGCATTGAAGAAAGTCCTCCTCCCAATTACTGGGTTAAGCGCTGTCGCAGTCGTGGAAGGTTGTCGAGTTTCCTCAGCGAGTGTCGGTCGGCTTTGAAGGTCCTTCCTCGGTCCAGTGACCTTTCTCGACCTCGGAGACTATTGTATCGTGAATTAGTGGTGGGGGTCGCGAAGAATCCTCTGTGTGACTGGCTCGATTGTCGGCATCAGAGTTGAGCTCTTTTTGAGCTTGGGCTCCAGCGGCGGATTATCTCAGCAACTCTGAGTTTTCGCTTAGCTGGCGATTGATTCGGAACGTACTACCGCTCAATGACTTAATCTTCAGATGGGTCGAGGTAGATTTGCCAGTCTGTCATCGGTGTGACCTTGGCTTAGAGGAAACGGCTTCTACCATTGTCCTCAGGTGCGACCCTTCTGGGATTATGTCGGCGAGCTGACAGCCCGTATCTCTTCCAACCGGCTCATGTCAATTGATTTCGCGTACTCGTGTGACAATGTGTCGCCCCCATTGTCCGAGGTAAAACGGATGGTGTTTTTTACGTTGCTAGCCGTGGCAAGAATTGTGGTGTGGACGTCGCGAAAGGAGGGAATCTTGCGAGACGAACATTATTCGCATCAGGATCTGGTTGTTTTCTTTAAGAATCAACTTAGGGTAAAAATCTGATCTGATATAAAGCGTTTGATTTCGACAGATTTCAACGAAAGGTGGGTAACTGAGGCGAGCCTTGTTCGTGTGGACGGGGCTAGCCTTGATTTTCTCTTTTAAGTCCCCTTGATGCAACGGGGCGGTTTCCTGTGAACACTCCCCTGGTTAAGTCAGACACTATTATGTTTTCCTCGTCAATGTGAATAAATTTTATTCCCGGCCTGTTTCCCGATACTATCTTTTATTATGGCCCATGTTGAGATTTTCAATCTCCCCAGTTCGTTTTTGTCCCCCATTTTTTTTTATCTTGATTGGGTCAACCTTTGATTTTCCCATTCCGTCGTTTATTTTTCACTTCACCACTCAATTAGTGAGTGTGCTTCTTGATTCTGTCTATCGGGAGAATACAGCAGCCATTCTTATTATTTTAAAGGGTGGACGGGTCCTACTAATATTGTTTTGTTTTAGTTTTGTCTTTGTGCTGCATTTTTAGTTTGTTTTCTGGGTTCATCGCCCCACCCCCCATCATTTTATGAAATCATGAAATTTTTATATATTTTTGTAAAAAACGAATTTTATAGCCTTTCAAATTTTTATATCATGGGGTGTTTTGTAGGTCCCCTGTGAAATGCGGTACTGTGGTATATACAGGATGCAGGTGATGGATGTGTTCTTGTGTTGCATGTGCAAATAATATTGAATAATTTGGTTGTGAGTCGGATTAACTATGACTAGGATAGCTAATGAAACCAGTCTCTCCCTATTTCTCCATAGTCCTTGTGCCACAATTTTGTATTGTTCAGAATAAATCTCAAATTACTATATAAAGTAGTGTTCACACGTTTATTCATCATCTCTTAGTTGCGTCTCTGCCTTCGGGAAGAGTGTGATTCAGTTGCGGCTCTGTCAGAGGACAGAGGCGCAATCGGGGAAAATCACACTGTGAAACGCCCAGCCCTGGAGCGCAGATGACCAAGGCTGCACCCTTTCATTGCACCAGAGAGGGGGGTCGGTGCACGCACCGAGGCCTTCGCAACCGGCAATTGCGAGGACACGGGAATTTTTTGTCCTTAGCCCAAGTGTACGCGCTCGAGTTCCCCACATTAAACCGACCTTGTGTCACAAC